GACCCTTCCCTTACCCATTAACCCAACTTTAAACCTAACCGTACCACCAAACCCCTCCTAACCTTACCCATATCACACCTCAATAGCAGCAGAAGCGTTTTGCAATACAACATGAACACATAATGTACTTTTTGATGTAAGTACATAGCAGTTAAAGACATGCAGCTCCCTCGCACTGTGGTTTAATTCTGATCTACAAATTATGTAGAAAATTGGCTTTAAGATGCTAAAAGAGAAGTTCACCCATAAAATAGGAACCATTTATGCCAAGGATCTTGTCTATACAAGAGTAACTAAGTGCTTAGCTAGGGGTCAAATGGGAAAATACTGGATGGACTTCTCTCTGTAACTTGAGTTCATTGTGACTTTGTGCAAGTGGCTAAGTGTCATTGAATCTGTTTTTTACAGTTTTCAAAACATTATCCATGAGGCAACACAACTATTGCAAGATGTGGCCTGTGTTTTCTTAGGGCCCTATCAGGTTCCTTCAGACATGTCCGACCAACACATACTGTCACAGTACAGAAGGAGACCAGGGACAGAGAGGTAAAGTAAACACAGAGCTTTATTGAACAGGTGCTGGGAGAGAGAGAGAGGGAGAGCAAACGGGTTAGAGCAACAGTCTATGGAATGGAAGGGATCGGGCTCACGTGATGACGGGTTCCTTTGCGGATCGGGCTGAAGAGGATGGTACAGAGACAGGAAGGTATCAGGATGGAGTCCGGGTACAGTGAGTCAGGTAAGGAGTAGCGTAGTGAACTCAAGACCAGACGAAGTGTGACTGCAGTGACTGTCCATTTAAGCTAGTGCTGATGAGGTGGTGACAGGTGCGGCTGATTAGTACTCCGGTGATTGTGAACGGGTGTGTGAGATGATTGGGCCTGACGAGGCTGGACTCTCCCTGACACATACATGCAATTTCAAGACTAGATCATCTCTATCTTCACTCTTCAGACCATAAGTCTTTTGGGAAAGACTGAGGACAAGACCCAGGGCTTTCACAACCCCCTGGTGTCATGCTTTCTTCTGCTTCTCTGAACCAAACACCACATCTGTCCCAAGCTTAGAAGAAAAAAAAAATCACTATTTTGTTGGGCTTGGAAATCAGCATGAGAAGATTGTGTGGGTTCAAAATAATGCAAGCCACTAGGACTAAAACGTTGGTGGATATACCAGTGCTGGCCACACTGTCGATCATCGAAATGAAAGCGGACTATCAGGGCATGTGAAAGCACTTTCAGGGTGCTTTCACATGCACACTTTTGGTGCACATCCAGGTTCGACTGACACCAGTTTGGTTTGTTTGGATGATATGAACCGTTTTTTGAGTGCGCACCTGCAAACCATACCTGTATTCGCCTAAAAAGGGTGGTCTTCTGTGTGGTTCATGTGAGCTCTGCTACAGTTTGCTGCTGTTATGAACAGCATTATACTAAGTCACAAAAGTTAACCACTATTGATGATGTGTGATTCGATAAAATTATGTGTTTGTTTGTGTTATCGTTCACTTTCCTGACAAGTGTGACTGATGCACTGCAAGCAGAGAGAATATATATATATATATGCGGCTTACATTGTTTTAAGATATATGAAAACATTTTAACTTGGTTGCTACTTGAGCATTCAGGCTACGTCCACATTAATCCGGATACTTTTGAAAACAGCGTTTTTTGTTTTAAACACTCTCTGTCCACATTAGCATTTTCAAGCATTTGTTCACGCTACAACACGAAAACAGCATTTTCAAATTTATCCACTTTGAAGGACGTTTTCATAAAGTTCCATTTTCCTTGACAAAAACACTGTCTCAGTGTGGACAGAAGGCCAAAATGGAGAGAAAAAGTTGTGTTTTCTAACTAAAACATATTAGTGTGGACAAAGGCCTCAGTCAATAAGCAGTTTCTAGCCATGCAGCCTATCTCTCTGGTTTTATGACAGCTGTACCTTTTATGGTTATTAGTAGAACATTAAAATCTAAACTTGCTCTTTAAAGCAGAAGTTAAAATCACTAAATTAAAAATGACAATAAATAATAACAAAAACAGACTACATTTTAACTGGTAAGAGGAACACAGATTAACTCGTTTGAGCTTAGGACTGTATTAGCTTACATTTGATTTACCCGTTACAACAGTTACTGCTATCATAAAAATATGCATACTTGTAAGTTTAAAATTCTACATGAGGCACATTTAATGTCCAACAACAAATATTTTATCAAAATGTATATTTTATTCAGAATTATTGCATTCAACGTCTATAGAACTAGACGTCTATTTGACATCTGATAGGAAGCTTCCTATAGACGTATTGCAGATGAGCAAACACTGATAAATACGTCACATAGACATCTCCGTGATGTACGTGTGCTATCAAGGTATTGATTCCGCGACCTGCAACGCAAATGACGACGTAAATAAAATTCCACCCATTTCATCAAATATTAGCGGTACCCGTGGGGAGCCAACTGCGTACAGCTGTAAATGCAAACATCAAATAGGCTAAAAAAATTGGCCAACAATTGTGTGTTTAACAGCCTACATCCTTCATAGATGGACGCTGTTGTGATTTAGATTAAAAATGCATAAATACTCAGTACATATCAAACTATCTGTAACAACAGACAAGGCAATAGTGTCCACATAATAAAAAAGTTACTCAAACTTGTGTGGTGCGACATTATTGTCAGATCCAATATAGTCGGCACAGCATCGTCTTTTAGTTTCAATCTTTCTGAAAATCCTGCTTCGAATTGTGCCTTGATTGTAAACGAATCCACAGTAAAAATTAAGTGAACAAAGGACCAAGGTCTTACTGACGCGGTCTGGAACATCAGTAAAAATCCAGTTAAATCAATCAGTCAATCAGTTAAATCAGTTAATCCACTCGACATTATTGTCAGATCCAATATAGTCGGCACAGCATCGTCTTTTAGTTTCAATCTTTCTGAAAATCCTGCGTCGAATTGTGCTTGGTTTGTAAACGAATCTGTGGTAAGATGAGGTTAACAAAGGATCAAGTTCTTACTGATGCGGTCTGGATCTTCATTACAAATGAACTCTTTCCTAATGTTAGGATCAGAAGGAAGGCAATGCAAAGACTGTGTTTTTCCACAACTTGGCACTGCACCCCATCTTGTTGTCTTTGGAGCCATCTTTATCGTTTGGTTTATTTGTAGACCTGCGTTTGCCTCTCTCGTTATTTACACTACATGCGTGAATCGGTGGGTGGGGGGTGATGTAGATGCAGGCGTTGATCTTCTGCGGAGGTGGTGTTTAACCACAGTATACATCAAGCGACACATTCCACAACCTGTCGTATTGACAGATTGGCTTCAATATAAACTGTTGTTAGACTAAAGAGAAAGTTTTGAGTTCTGAAATTTACAAGATGTTTTTATACTACAATGACCTCTTAAAATCACTTTCCAGAACATTCTCGTTCACCATTCCTGGCTGGTGGAACGATCTTCCCACCCCTATCCGGAATGCTGAATCCCTGACAATTTTCAAGCGACAGCTGAAAACCCACCTCTTTCGAAGCTACTTGACTTCATCATAAAAAAATTAAATAAAAAAAATATATATCTCTTTATTTATTCCTTCTCTTTCTAGCTTGTACTTATTTGAACAATGTCTAGAAACTTCCTGTATCTGTTTGCCTCTTTAAGAAGAATCGCTTTATGTATACCCAATTGTAAGTCGCTTTCGATAAAAGCGTCTGCAAAATGACTAAATGTAAATGTCAAAAGATCATGAGAAATCTGGGCTGCTTAAGAATAGGGTGCACATCTTGACTCACTGAGCCTAGGTCAATTTAGTAAGATTGAGTGAACTTTAATTGTCATTTATGGAACCGCTTTAGCCCCGATTGATTTGTTAGGTTATTTCAAGTCAGGGTTTGTACTTAAGTCCCCACTTTTCTTAACATACTTTATGAAACAGGCCTCAGGTCCTTATCTAAATCTGCTCACAATCACATTCTTCATAGGTTGGTTTCTGCTTTATCTGTGGCCAAAAGATGTGGTGTGCTGCCATTAGTCTTAACAGCAGCGATGCAGAAATGCCTAAAGCAGGGGTGCCCAATCTTGCTCCTAGAGGGCTAATGTCTTGAGGAGTTGGAGCTCCAACACACTTGTCTAGAAGTTTCTAGTGAGCCTGAGACCTCGATTAGCTTGTTCATTTGTGTTTAATTAGGTTAAGAGCTAAACTGTGTGAGATAGTGGCCCTCCAGGAACAGGTTTGGACATCCCTGGCCTAAAAAAAAAGTTTTAACATGGAGAAGTACAGATTATGTACATGGATTATGTTTTGATTAAAGGGAATTCACTTTATTTTGTTATAAAATCCTGGTAAAATAGGAAATGGTCAATATTACTACATCTTTGAACAGTCTGTGAACTTCCCAGAACATTTACATTCTGTCAGAATAATTCTAAAAATATCTATTGTTCAACTTTCACTGGTCGTACCAATTAAGAGATCTAGCAGTGTCATTTGATGAGTATTGCAACATTGCTGAACATTCCATTTGAGGTCACTGTATGAGAGGATGTTTGTTCAAAAGCAAACACATCATGTATTAAATTGTCACAATCCCTGCCTGTGTTTCCTGTTTTTCTCATTGACTCTTATTTTGTAGTTCTGTGTTTCCTTTGGTGCTTTGTCCTCCTCAGGTGTGTTCAACTTGAAGCAGCGCTGCGATCCCTGTATGACATCAGGCCAGAGGAGAACTGGCCCCCCGACTGAGCCTGGTTTCTCCCAAGGTTTTTTCTCCATTTCGGTCACCGATGCGGAGTTTTGGTTCCTTGCCGCTGTCGCCTTTGGCTTGTTTAGATGGGGACGCTTGACTGATTGCACAGACACTATTGGAAGAGAACTGAACTGGATGATGACATCACTGAATCATCAATGAACTGACTTTAGCTGGAAAAATAACTCTGTTATTGTCTTCTTGCATTATTGACAAACTATTTTCCTGTTTGACACTGTAAAGCTGCTTTGACACAATCAGTATTGTATAAAGTGCTATACAAATAAAGGTGAATTGACTTGACAAAGTACCACAAGAGATAAATAGAGTAGATGGCTCTGTATGCTAATATAATGTAAATAATATTCAGTTTCTTGCTCAGACTAATTGTTTCCCTTCATAAGACCTCAATATATCATCAGGTATTACTGGTATTAATTTTGTGTTCCTCAAAATGCTTTTTTTATTCTCAAATATGGACAGTTGCTGAATTGCATTTAATGAATCACCAAGGACCACGGTTTCAGCTAAAAATCTTAAAAATCCCAGAGTGTGAGAAAAATTTTCATTTTTAGGTAAACCATTCCTCTAAGTTTAAGTCCACTGCTCAGGTTTTTTGCCTACTGTATATCGGGGGTGCTTATGTGAACCTCAGAATTGCCTTATTTCTGCAGGTGTAACCTCAGTTATGAGGCTTCTCTCTGGTGTGAGTTATTACATGATTGCTAATGTGTGCAAAGGGCCATGTTCAATTTAAATTAATTTTATTATAATAGCTGTCCAGCATTCTGATTGATTTTCATACATGCAGAGTAGGCATGATTTAATCTGAAGTCTTGTTTAAATCTTCAGAGAGACTCGTGAGTCTCTAAAATTTTAACTAGTTTATTCTTCATTTGACTAATCAATCAGGGAATTTGACCCTCTGATGTGATTTAGTACTGTAACAGTAATCAGCTAATTATGTCTCACAAACATAAGGTTTCCGGTCAGTGAAACAAATTCCAAACTGATAACATAAAAACAGTTCTCTCATATGTGAATACTCATGTGGTACCTAAGGCCTACTTTATATTTAAAACTCATTCCACAGTGACCACATATGAATGGCTTCTCGTCAGTGTGAACTCTCATGTGTCTGTTAAGGATTCCTTTTCGGTTGAAACTTTTTCCACATTGTTCGCAGGTGAAAGGCTTCTCTCCTGTATGAATTCTAATGTGGTCTTCAAGGTGTCGTTTTTGATTAAAACTCTTTTCACACTGAGGGCATGTGTAGCGTTTCTCTCCTAAGTGAATTCTCATGTGGTCTTCAAAGTGTCCTTTTTGATTGAAGCTCTTTCCACACTGAGGGCATGTGTAGGGTTTCTCTTCAGAGTGAAGTCTTATGTGGACTTTTAGGTTTTCATGTTGATCAAAACTTTTTCCACACTCTTGGCAGGTATAAGGCTTCTCTCTAGTGTGAATCCTTATGTGCATGTTAAAGCTTACTTTTTGAGTGAAACTGGTTCCACACTGTTGGCAGGTGAAAAGGCTCTCTCCAGTGTGAATTCTCATGTGGAAATTGAGGTTTCCTTTTCGGCTGAAACTCTTCCCACACTGTTGGCAGGTGAAAGGCTTCTGTCCAGTGTGAACACTCATGTGGACGTTAAGGTTTCCAGGTTGACTGAAACTCCTTCCACACTGATGGCATATATAAGGCTTTTCTCCAGTGTGAATTCTCATGTGCCTTTTAAGGCTTATTTTGTAAGCGAACCGCTTTCCACACTGTTGGCAGGTATAAGGCTTCTCTTCTGTGTGAATTCTCATGTGCCTTTTAAGGCTTACTTTGTAAGCGAACCGCTTTCCACACTGTTGGCAGGTATAAGGCTTCTCTTCTGTGTGAATTCTCATGTGCCTTTTAAGGCTTACTTTGTAAGCGAACCGCTTTCCACACTGTTGGCAGGTATAAGGCTTCTCTTCTGTGTGAATTCTCATGTGCCTTTTAAGGCTTACTTTGTAAGCGAACCGCTTTCCACACTGTTGGCAGGTATAAGGCTTCTCTTCTGTGTGAATTCTCATGTGGACTTTTAGCTTTTTATGTTGACTAAAACACATTTCACACTGTTGGCAAGTGAAATAACTTTTAGTTCCAGTCTTTTGAGACCTTTTTCGTGAAGGAGACTTTTCATTTTCTGAGCAGCTAAAGGTTTTTTCTCCAGTTATGAAATCATCATGATTCTTATAATGATCTTTCTCTTCAATTTCATTCAGTACTTCGCTTTCATTTTTCAACACCATGAGGTCTAAGGTGAAAAGAGAGAAATACAAATTAACACCAGTTTAATGGCACAAAGCAACAGACATCAAAACATTTACACATCTAAAGCAGAGGTCCCCAACCACCCGGTCATGACCCACTACCGGGCCGTGGAAGAGTTGCTACTGGGTCGCAAGAACGTTCTGTCAAAAAATGTGTATAGATATGACACGGTGTTATTTATTGCGCGTTAATGATTGTTCTAATTATTCTGTATTATTACGCGATTGCTATGGAGTAGCAATTTGGCCATTTCATGTAAATGAAATGTTCAATTAGTAAATGAAAGATTGTTCTGATAATCTGTCATATATTAGGGGTGGAACAGATTGCAGTTTATCCGTGATACGTACAGACCAGACCTCACAGTTCGGCACGTATGTGATTCGCAGATTAATTTGCCAATTTACAGGTTGAAGCAATTTTAAACCCCAAGAAGAAGAAGAAACGGTTACACTTTATAATAACTGCACTCTATGAATAATTTGGTAAGCGTTAGTAAATAGTCAGTTCATCCTTTATAAAGCCTTGTCCCAACATTAATAGTCATTAGTAAGCAGTTTATAAATACAGCTATAAATGCCTGGCTCTTGATTTATAAGCATATCTATTACAAAGGAGACTAAAGGCTCAGTTATCTTCCTAACAAACAAACTAAATAAAAAATAAACAAACACAACAAAGAGGGATACAGAACTCAGAAATATTTATTTCAAGATGCAATAAAATGAAACTGTACAACTGTACACTTGAATTTTTTTTCTATAAAACTGCAGAGGTTTATTTTTCATTTTTTATCAAGTGTACAGCTGTACAGTTTCATTTTATTGCATCTTGAAATAAATATTTCTGAGTTCTGTATCCCTCTGTGTTGTGTTTAACTTTTCTGTTTGGAAGATAAATGATCCTTTAAATCTCCTTTGTAAATGCTTTACAAGGTATAAATAGTCCTCACTTTAGATGAGCTCACAAAAATAGATGGCTGTCAACTACTAAATGTTTTATAACAACCTGACTTAATCAGGAATTACAGCAGGAATATGTGTCAATAAAGCAGTTATAGTTTATTAATCATTTACTTACACTTTCTTAATGATCTTATGAACCACTGACAACTCCTAAATAACTGGTTTGTAAATAACGTAATAATTTAGAAATGATAAATTGATCGTTAATAAAGTATGAAAATACAATTTTTAAACATTATAGATATGCTCAAGAACAAAACATTTATAGCTGTATTTATAAACTGCTTACTAATGCCTATTTAATGTTGGAACAATGCTTTATAAAGGTTGAATTGACTATTTACTAATGCTTAACTAATGATTAATAGTGTGCAGTTATTATAAAGTGTTACCGAAGAAACGGAAGAGAACTAAATTCGTTACTCACGCGCTGTTCTCGCACACACCCAAAGCACGCACACGCATAGAGATGTTTTTCAGACAGGGTGCAGAGGCTTATAGAGGCCAATAACGATGTCCTTCGAAATTCTTGAGCAGCGGGTACACTCTTGCGCTCAAGGAACATCATGAAATATGAATAAAAGAAATGTATAAACGTAAGGAAAAGTGGAGTAACTAACAAAGCACACATGCAAACACAACATGCTGTGTGTGAAATTACTTTTGCATTACAAAGCATCATTTATCTTGCAAACAGATATGCTTCGCCACCATAGAACCAAGCTCAGAGTTCCTGAGAGGAAATGGCACAAGACAAAAGACCCAGCTAAATTGAGCAAGTATCATTTCCTCCCATTCCATTTCTCCTCTAGAGTTTTTGTTGCCAAGGTCTCTTATTACCAAAACAAGATCAGCAACACCTCAGACACATGGAAAATATTCACAATGTTCTCCTCTCTACTCTGTCCCCCTCCATGTCTTCTCTGACTGCTGATGAATTTGCCACTTGCTTGATTAATAAGGGGGAAACCATCAGTATTAAGTTCTCTGCATCATTTACCAACAGCAAAAAAAAAAAAACGGACAAAATGCCTTGAAATAATCTTCATCTTAATGTATGGTAACCATAGTAACAAGTGGAAAAATTGACTCCGGGCCATTTTTATACATTTCATCTCTACCCACAATCTGTCCATGCTTATTGATTTCCAAACTATACCTGTATCACAAATTACAAGATAAATATTTTCACCCGTTTCATTAAATATTAGTGGTGTTCTGCCATGTGCAAGACACATGCTGACTGAAGTTCATATTTCACAATATCAATAGTTCTTATTGGTGATTGAAATGGTTTTTGATATGGGGATCATGTACAAAATGTACTATATGACAACCTTAGCTAAACAGTGATTTTGTGTTGCTTTTGCAAAGGATGTGACATTTTAAAAAGAGTTAATATGATGGTAGACTTTAAAAGCAGAGAAGAATAACAACTCAAAATACCAGTGTAGAGGATCTTCGGCTTTAAACAGTCAATATGATCCACTCATTTACCAAATTAATTCTTCCTTGATTTAAAGGTGACATATCATGAAAATCGGACTTTTCCAGGTTGCAGCAGCTCATTTGCATTTAAAGAGACAGGCCCGAAAAACAGCTCGTTTCTGCTTCCACTCAAAATAGGCATTTTCAAAATTATATAATAAATGATCTGTGGAGTATTTTGAGCTGAAACTTCACAGACACATTCTGGGGACACCAGAGACTTATATTACATATTGTAAAAAGGGGCATAATATGTCACCTTTAATGTACATTTACTGCTATTTATGTTCAGGTATGTTAAAATGTTAGTACAGCACTTTTGAGGACAAGTAGCAATTATTTGTTGTTCCCTATCGATACTTCACTCATACTGCGTCTGCTTAAGACGCTATAGGGAAAACTCATTTTTCTCCGAATACTGAAGCCTTTTCAATAACGCAGTGTAACTGCGCGGCCATTGGTTCGTTCAGCAACGACTGCAAGATCTTCGCTCTATGAGACTCAAAGCCTTCACCATGAACAAGCCTCGCAGCGGATCAAGACCCCTTTTTGCTCTGCTGACTTCGCTGCTCTTCAGCTGCCTTCAGCAGCTGTGGTCTTCCCGGTCCCCTGCCGCTATCCGGCGATTACTATAAGAGCTCATTTCTGAGCAAATTTCCGGAGTTGTTTCAAATGCCGCGCCGCTACTGCCGCTCATACAGGGCTCCCCTGCACGCTGCTGATGGTCACGGCAAGTGCGTTTCATGCTTGGGCGCCACCCACGCTGAAGCTGCACTTACTGAGACGGAATGTCCTCTTCGCGAGGATATGAGTCTCGCCTCTCTGCGCTCGCGGATAGCTTTCTTTTCAGAAAGCGACACAGCGACACAACGGTCGACGGCGCCGAAGAAAAGGGGTATGACAGACTGCCTCCCCTGGATGAGTCAGTGGCCGCGCATCTCTGCCCGCCCACGGCCATCGGCTGGAAGGCAAAGGCCGCCCACCCGTCCGTGTAGGATGAATTCAGCGCTCGCTGGATGGGCCTACTCGTCAGCTGGACACGCGGCCTCTGCGTTTCACTCTATGGCGGTCCTACAGGTCCTTCAGGCCAAATTTCCCCAGAACATGGACGAGTCTGGACCAGACCCCGCAGCTTTCACCTATGGTTGACCCTCATAGAGATCAAGGATGCGGATAAGGTCCCCTTCCTCGACTCCCCGGTCTCCCCCTCTGGCCTGTTTGGACCTGCAGTGGAAGGGTTCACTGAGCGATTCACCGCTGCGCAGAAGTCGTCCCAGGCAATGCGACACTTCTTGCCAAAGCGCTCCAGTTCTATAGCTGCTGCCAGTCGCCCCAAGATAGCGCTGACTCAGCAGCCCGCGAAGCCCGCATCATCGGCTGCACCGCCAGCCTCTAAGCCTGAGCCCCGACATCGCTCCCGCTCGGCCAGACTCTATCCATTCCCTAAGCGCCAGGGACCCCGGCCCAAGGTATTGCTGGACCCGGCGCCTCGGGCGTCAACCTAATCTGCGGGACAGGAAGAGGGGAAAAAGTCTCACCATTGCCGGACCACCCCCCAAGCAGTCTCTGTTGTGCCTCCAAGCACCCTGTTTACTTCCCAGTGCCGATGGCAATGTGTTTGTGGTAAATACTGTTGTGAACCCTGGGCCCGTTCAGTTAGCGCCCACAAAACCAATCGCTGTTATAGCGAGAAAAATAAAACAAACATTTTCAAAAAGAGAGCAAAATTCCTCTTCCGCTTATCATGAGCGTTGGGTCCCTGCAAGGCGGCCTGTCGCTCGAAACAACCCAATCCCTTGCCACGCGGGCCGAGGCCTAGCAGGTACCACGGGTGAGTGTCAAAACGGGTTCTGGGGATAATAAGACGAAACTATTCACTTCAATTCGCTGGAAGACCCCCGCGATTCAGTGGTGTGGTCTCCACCTCGGTTCACAGCAAGGACACACATGTCCTGCTCACCGAGGTGATGAATTTGCTGCTTCTACAGCCAATACTTCCTCATCCACAAAAAGAATGCCGGCCCAAGGCCCATCCTCGATCTCAGGCACCTGAACCGCGCCCTCATGAGACAGCCGTTCAGGATGATTACACTGAAGCAGATCCTCTGGCAAGTGTTCCCAGGGAACTAGTTCTTTCATCTGAAAGATGCCTACTTCCACATCCAGTAGCCCCCCACCACAGGCGATTCTTGAGATTCACCTTCGAGGGAGTGGCATATCAATACACGGTCCTTCCCTTTGGACTGTCCCTAGCTCCGTACACTTTTACGAAGTGCATGGATGCGGCTCTTTCCCCGCTGAGACAGATGGGAATCCGCATTCTGAATTATCTCGACGACTGGCTCATCCTGGCCCAGTCAAACAACAAGCTATTATCTCACAGATCCTTCCTCCTCAGCCACTTAGAATGCCTGGGACTCAGTGTCAATTTTGCCAAGAGCGCGTTGTCCCCCCAGCCAAGGGATATCATTCCTGGGAACAGTTCTCGAATGAGGTCGGTAGTCACGCCAGATCATGCACTGGCTATTCGGCAGCTCACGGCCTCATTCAAAGTTGGAGGTCCTTGCCCTCTCAAGGCGTTTCAGAAGATGTTGGGCCTCATGGCCTCTGCGTCTCCGGTACTTCAGCTGGGCCTGCTTCGCATTTGGCCCCTTCAGTACTGGCTGAAACCACGAGTTCCGTCCCACGCCTGGCGTCATGGACGCATGCGTGTCAAGGTAAACAAGGCCTGCGTAGCAGCTCTGGCCCCATGGAAAGACTCTCAGTGGATGGAACGGGGCGTGCCCCTGGGAATGGTCTGCAGAAGGAAGGTGCATTCCCAGACACACATTTACCACTGTCGTCTCGAGACGACAGACGCTTCCAACACGGGTTGGGGAGCGCTGTGCGATGGCAAACCGGCGATTGGTCGAAAGAGGAGAGTCGGCTTCACATCAACTGCCTGGAAATGCTGGCAGTATGTTTGGGCCTTCGCACCTTTCTGCCAGACCTAAGGGGACACCACGTGCTAGTCCGCTCAGACAGCTGACAGTGGTGTCATATATAAATCACCAGGGCGGTCTCTCCTCGAAGTGCCTCTTCATTCTGGTAGAGCACCTCCTGGAATGGGCTCAGCTCAACTTGCGTTCGCTAAGAGCAGCGCATGTGCCAGGCAGGTTGAACCAAGGAGTAGTGGTGGGCAGAGCGAGGCTTCGTGAAACACTGAAACAGTCGAAGTAAATGTGCAGAGGCTTCGAAACAATTCGACACCCGTCTCTACGGTGATGCCTAGTGGTCATTTTTAAGTATTGTTCTGATCAACAGTCTTGATAACGAATCAGTTAAGAGAATTGACGAATTATAACATACTATATGAGTGTGTTACCCCACCAAGTGAGTTGGGGGAATGGTTGGTGTACTCGACTGGCGTGCTGACATCTCAGGTTCGAATCCAGGGTGACACATACATATTCATATAATTATAATACACAATTAAAAGTTGTGTTTTTATTGTTCGGTTCTTGTAATGTGTTGTAACATCGGTCTGACAACTGAATGAACTCTTTGTGAATAAATATGTGTTATTTTGGTCATGAAAAATTAACATGAATAAATGACATCAAGCCACAATGTCTTGCATTTTTTACATATAAAGATTTTTATGTAAAAATATGAATTGTTCTGCTATTGATGGACTTCGCCTACTTCTTTTTTTACATAGAATTTCTTCAGCCTTTGAAAAATCTTCTCACAAGCGACACTTGTCGCTGGCATGCACAGATACTTTTGAGCTAGGACATACAAATTAGGAAAAATTACTGCTCTCTCCTTCCAGTACTTTAGGGGTTCATTCCTTCTGGCCAAAAATGCATCTCTTGCGTGGGCCTTCATTATTATGTAATCTATCAATATGAATCTATCAACTATGAAATCCTATCTCTAACTTGTTGTGCTGTCTGTCACTATCTAACTTAGCCTATATGAAAGTGTCACTATATCTGTCCTAACTATCTGTCAATGTCTATAGCTTATGTCAATATCTTAATAATAACTTTTAATCTAGCCTAAATATAATTCACCAAATTACAGTATAAATGTCACTATATCGCAAAATCTCTCTCCTCTCACGAAAACCCACTAGGTGAAGATGCGATAACTCCAGTTTTATACTTTGTGGGAGTTAGATTGAGACAGATGTGCGATTGTGTGGTTTGTTCCCGACCCTGTCAATCAAACGCACATTTGGGTTTCAAAACACTCGGGAAACACCCCGATGCTTTGATTCGCCTTAGTTACGTGACATGGGTGTTTCGAATAACACTTCGGGATCTCGACACCATGTCGAAACGTCAGTTTCGCGTTAGCCATCCCTACCAAGGAGCAGACATGCTATCTCGGAGCAACGTCCCCTCAGAGGAGTGGATGCTCTACCCTCAGACGGTTCAAAGAATCTGGGAGATCTTCGGCAAGGCAGAGGTCGACCTCTTCACCTCAGAAGGCAACTCTCACTGCCCAATTTACTTTAGGAAGGACAGGGATGCATTGGCCCACGACTGGCCCAACCTCCTCCTTTACGCTTTTCCCCCGATCGCCCTGATCCCACAGGTAATCAGGCGAATCAGGGAACAGAAACACAAGGTTCTGTTGGTGGCCCCGCTCTGGAGGAACCAACACCGGTTCGCAGAGCTGTCTCGGCTGCTCTCAGCAGCCCCGTGGCCCATTCCCCTGAGACGAGACCTTCTCTCTCAGGCGAACAGAACGATATGGCACCCCCAGCCCGAGCTGTGGGCTCTGCACCTCTGGCCTCTCGATGGGAGCCTGTGGACCTCCCTGAGAGCGTGCTAAATACAATATCTCAGGCTAGAGCACCCTCTACGAGGCGGCTCTATGCCCTTAAATGGCATAGTCTTCTCCGCCTGGTGTACGGCCCGCAGCGCAGACCCATTTTCCTGCGACATATCTTTGATATTGTCCTTCCTGCAAGAGCTGTTGGATGCTCA